AAAAAGTACAGAACATGTAATATACCGTATAGCGGATGTAAAACTTGGCATTTTGTTTGCATAAAGGTATGCCAATAATTTTGGCGGACACGGAGTTCCATGACTTTGCTAAAGAGAGGACATCCACATTTTAGATGAATTTCAGTACGTTTAATATTCGTTTGAATACCTATTTAAAGTTACATAATGAGTCAAAATCATGTCTCTTTTAAGATAATTGTATTATATAATAAAACAAAAGATTTATGTGAAATATGAAAAAGCGAAGTTTTGACAACTCAACTGCACTGTAAAGCAGGAAAAGACTGCAAAATGTAAGTCCCGGAAAAGCAAATTTTGTAGATCTATCGCTTAGTTGTTATTGTCAATGTCAACAATGTCAAGGTCACGGGACTTATTCTTAGCGTGAAACTTGTAAACAACATTGAATTGGAGCGGTCATCCGACATTTATATCTATGGAATTGACACCATGGTAAATTCCTCAACTTTTCTGCGCATGCGTACAATAAAGAGGAAGAAGTGAAGCAATATTTTTGTGTTGGGGCAAACAAAAATTATTTTTACTTTTATTTTTCTCCATAAAAGTAGATTTTTTAGGTTCTAAAACCTGTTATTTTCTGAAACCTAATATCTTCAAGAATTTAACAAAATGTGCATGTGTTATGCAAAAATTCTACTTTTTTCAATTTTCCCCCTTTAACGTCACGGTGTCTCTTTAAGCAAGAGTTTGAGTAAAAACCAATACCAGATGAAATATATAACGTTTAACAACAGACTGATCAAAGTTATTTTTCTTGTATTCAATAGTTATAAGCATGGGTGCAAAAATTAGTGTTTAAAATTTTAGCGGGCTAAAACAAATCCGCTAAAATAAGCCAAAATTAGCACCCCACTAAAAAAATCCCTCTAAACGGTGTATGCTAGTTCTCGAAGCCCTGCGTCTCAAAATTCAAAAAACATAAGATAAATTAACAGTTCGGGGTATTTTTGAAAAGTAGTTCAAAGGTCAAGGTCAAATGGAACTTTTCACAATGTCTTATGACAAACAGTGCACATGCTAAATAGCATAGACTTCCCTCTCAAATGCTTAAAAAAGAGCTGTATGTCGGCATTATTATTTTGAAAAGTAGGTCAAAGGTCAGATTGAAAGGCCAAGAGGTTGGTAATCATGATATTTTACAAAAGCTCTAGTTTTGGTCAAATCCATACCTTTTACATTTCTCAAGATATAAGGCGTGACAGACGGACAGACAGACGCCGTGTAAAGTGATCCCTAAGTGTCGCTCTGCTCTGCAGGCGACATAAATATAAAGGCAGAAATGTACTTAATGTTGGGAATGTTTACCTATTCACAAATAAACAGAAATCTTAGTTATGAAGAAAAACCAGGTTACAGCGTCTGAGAAATTAACCAGGAAGTAATAACGGCGTGGCAGGGTGTTTGTGTATGACCGTACAGCATCAACAAAATTGCCAACACTACGGCGGTGAACATGCAATATGAGAACAGAAGCAGGGCGACCCACATCCTGTATCTTTATATTTGATTTGTGATGCAATATATGTACAAAGTCAGAATGACTTAATTGGAATATTGAGCAAGTCTGTTTTCTCTAAACATTAAACACAGTTCAACCATATTAAACAGAACACTCGCCTATGGTCAATTGATTGATTGTATATTGTTTTACGTCCCATTCGAGAATTTTTCACTCATATAGAGACGTCACCATATACCGGTGAAGGGCTTCAAATTTTGACCTTTACTCGGCACTCAGGGCCATTGAGCAGTGAGGGATCTTTATCGTGCCAACGCCTGCCGTGACACGGGGCCTCGGTTTTTAAGGTCTCATCCGAAAGACCCGCAACTTTCACTCCAAAGTGCCGAGCGCATGGCGAAGGAACAGTTGCTACCTATTTTTTATCGACTTAGGTCTGTCGCGGCCGAGATTCGAACTCACGACCTCCCGATCACGGAGCGAGCGCTCTACCGACTGAGCTACCGTGAACGGTACCTATGGTCAAAACACTATATGAAATTTTTAAGAACCGTGAAAAATATCAATGAAAATAAGAATCGTCATTGTTTATATAATAGACTGTAACGCACAAAAGTACTATTATCATGGGAATACAAAACCAAACTATTTTTTGTCCTCCAATCAACTCCTCAATCGCTAGACTGCTTTTTGATTATTCATTACCAAATAATAGTCATTCGGAATAGCCTTTGGTTGAAACGAATCAAGAAGTATAATAATGCCGTGTACCTGATGTAATCATTTCCCCCATGCAATTCAACGGTGGACAAGCTTGAATCACGCAACGTTATGTGTGTAGGGAGTTTACTCGTATTCTTGTTATATAGAGGTTTAGCGATATATATTTTATGTATTATTGCTTCTTCAGATAGTTGGTGAACTCAGCTCAACCTGAGTGTTCTATTAATGGCATGTTATATGCCCACAGTACAAGGAAAAAGAGGACGACTTTTGTACGACATCTGACAGAAAAATGGCTTCCCGTAATCTAATTGTCTATCTGTAATTGCGTTCATCGAGTGAAGGCATCCAGAATGCTTTTTTCTTGTTACTCTGAGGGATGTCATAATTGTCGAGGAATGGATTTTGAAATGCTGTGATGACACATTCGCCAAAAGCTTCTGAAGATCAAGAGGATATTCCGCATAACGCTTATCGCGCGGTTTGCACGTGATGCACTTTTTCGAGGAGACCTTACATTGTAATTTTACGATCTAGAAGTTTAGCGAACCTCCCTAAGATAATTTTTATATATAATAGCATAACAGGATATATGCAACATTCACTACTTTTCCATCAACAATCGATTAGACATTCATGAAACAAAAATGTATGTGAAGCTATTTTGAATTCTGTTTTGGCGTCGTTGTTTTTGAGAAGGTATTATAACCATATGGAAGACAAATACTGTAAGAGGCTAGCAATGGTGCCCACACCCATTGTTCTCGCGGACTTTCATATATTCAAGATGAAAGAACGAACATGGCACGATTTTAGTTTGAAGACTTTTAGTACTCTAGCCAGTGTCTCTCATCAATCGTAGGGAAAAATATTTCTCAATTATTTTCATTCATCAATTACAAAACACAGTGTATTGAAGTGAACGATTTTGGAGGTGTGCATCGATAAATTATTTAGGACACGAGGGAGTTGTTTGCTCTTTATCGGCATTTTGCAGGCATTGATGTTTTATTTGCATACAACAGTTCAATCTCTTTTGTCGATTGAATTAATTACTACTGCTTCAAATTTGATAATCGAAGCTAAAATATACATCAGCCATTGATTCATGCTTGTAGAAGATTTAATGTAACATTGTTTTCACTGTCAGAGCGTTTTATTTGAAGTTTTTGATTTTGATGTGTTGCCATGGTTACTAAAAATAGAAATTTTTGTGAAATTCCTTCAAAATGCTACTCCTTCAGTTTAATTTTGATTTCAATATAAATGGGTACGCACAGGTAAGTAGAGTACACTAAGAGATAATTTTGTATATTTTTTTTTTATTTGACGAACGGCGTTGCCATGATTACTAATAGAAATTTCTGTGATTTCTGACATTTCTGATTTCTTTTCTTTTTTTTTCAGAAAGCTACTTTTCCTTCAGTTTTGATTTGAATCGATTGAAACTTTATTTCTACACAAGTAGACTATACTCAGACACATAACTGTGTTTACGAGTTTTTAATTTCGATGAATGGTGTCACCATGGTTACTAAAAATAGGAATTTCAAAGAATTTCTATCAAAATGCTACCCATCCTACAGTTCTGGTCCGATTTTATTAAACGTAGTACACAAGTGGACTTCACTTAGATACACACAATCCTTTTTATCGGTTTTCAATTGAACAATCGGTGTTGACATTGTAACTAAAAATAGAACTACAGTCTCGTCAGGGGATTCTGGTTTCCAGATTGTAAATCTGCCTATAAGCTTACTGGATTGAATTAACCAATGTCCTTTAAGCCCAATGTCATTGATACGAAATGGTGATATAGAAATAAGATATCTGTAGGACGTTTATTCTCATTTTACACTTGCAGTATATAAATAAAAGCAAATGCATTATACGTGTATATAGTTCCGCTGTTAAAAAATCTTATGTGTCGCACACGTCAATAGTATTTTTAGACCAACTCTCTGCTCATCGGAGTTAATGTAGAAAGATGAGCGTCTGGTTGAACGAGATTACAAATTACGGTACTCAGATAGGTTATAGTTGTTTCCCGCCCCGCCATTGAGTTTTCACGTGTGACAACTTAGTAGCAGGGGAGGGAACCAGACTATAAAGTTAGACAGTATGATATCAACGTTTTCTTACATCAGTTGGTGTCAGATTTATTCGAACTCTGTTTAATTCTGACCATCGTTTAAGGTCCAACAACTTCATAGATACAATGATAAATTTTCAATTTTAATTTAATTTAAATTTTGGAATTATTTTTTATGTTAGTGTCATGAAAATCTGCAGCAGTTGTGGAGTTTATAAATTCGTAAAAATTATTAATTTGATTCCGTCTTTAATACTGTGTCAGTACTTTTATTCTCAACTTGACGCTAAATGGTATCATCTTTTCCTATTCTGTGATCAATTATAAAACTTAAATTGAAAATGTGGTGCGGCATCAGCGATTTCAGACTCGTATTTATCAAATCTTGCATAAATCTACACATATATACATGTACTATGCATAGTAAAACCGCGGTAAAAATGGCCACGTCATAATGATTATTTTAACATTAACGTTGATCGTTAAAATCCTTTAATGAAAAAATAGCTTTGTTCATGTGAAGTGTATTTACCCAAAATGCAAATCAAAAAGATTAGAAATTGACTTGTAGAGGAACAATTTCCCTTATCAAATTTATCGAAGCTTTCCTCTAGAGCACAGAGGAATAGTCTTGGTGTTTTACACGAAATATCAGCAATTCTCTTATTTCAATGTCTTTTGCAGGCTATGGTCACAGCACCCCTCAGACCGACAGCGGGAAAATCTTCTGTATGTGGTATGCTCTCGTGGGGATTCCTCTTTGTCTCATCATGTTCCAAAGTGTCGGTGAACGTCTCAACACATTTGTGACGTTTCTTCTCAAACAAATCAAAAAATGCTTCAGGAGAAAAAATTGTGAAGTTTCGCAGACAAACCTAATTATGGTAGCCTGTATTTTGTCCTGTTTATTTTTGACCGTGGGGGCGGTTGTTTTTACCTACTACGAAGACTGGTCGTATTTAGACGCCTTCTACTATTGTTTTATCACGCTGACCACCATTGGATTCGGTGATTACGTGGCATTACAGAGCAACAATGCGCTGCAGGACAATCCACAATATGTGACTTTTAGTTTGATATTCATTCTCTTTGGATTAACGGTCATCTCTGCAGCAATGAACCTTTTAGTATTAAGATTTTTAACGATGAATACCGAAGACGAACAAAGGGACGAGTTAGAAGCAGCTGCGGCTGCGCAGACTGCAGTACGATTGGAAGGTGACGTCATAACTTCCAATGGCAATGTTGTATCAGGTGCTCAAGAAAATCCAGAATTAAATGACGTTACGTCCGTGTGCTCATGTTCATGCTACAATCTGCGGAAGAATAAAAACCGATACACAGTTACTCGGCTTCCAGGGAAAATTTCGCATCTTTTACCGATGCACAGTGTCAGTTCTGGCAAAGACGATAACTTTATGTCAGACGTCGAGTCCAATTCAGTCTTACATTTTCAACATATTAATTCAAAAAGGGCATCGGTATAAATTTACATTTGAAGACTTCATATCACAAAAATTGAGTGGGGAATTATTTAATATATATTTTTACACTGGTACTGAAATGTGTGCGAAAATTATCCAGTTATCGTTATCATATCATGTAACCATTCAGCCAGATTCTATTTTTGCATTCTTAGTATGTTGACCTTCTTAATTATATCCTAGAATGTATACAGAGAATTGCTGACGCTTTGGGAGACGGTTGCGATTGCGTACATAACACGGTGACGTGTAAATATTTATGGACAAACGTGTATTGCTCTATATTTACCAGTATCTTATTAAATTAACGGCCATCACCATGATTTCTATTTTTAAACATAAATTGTCTTTGACCTGTCGGGATATATAAATATTACACAAACTATAGTGAAGAGATCATTGAATTGTAGTTAATGCGTTGTCAAAACTCAAGGGATACATATATGTATTTGAATATCTTTCTATACAGTAAAAATTAAAAAAAAAAAAGACAAAACGCTTCTAAAAACTTTAACAATTTGAGGAAAAAATAAACTGAAACTGTGTTGATCTCTCCTGTAACTCACTGCGGATTTTGGGAATGAAATTATGTTCGTGAAATATCCCCCTTTAGAATTTAATCTGACTTCCTGGTTTAGATGTTTAAAGAAAATGCCAGAATTAAAATAGGTTTTAATAGCTGTTTTCAAAAAACGAAATATACGTAGCTTTCACGTTTGTTTCAAAATTTTGTTTCCATTTACCTTTTGCAAGTTTTTGCTTCACTGTTTATGAACACTTTTTTCTCCATTTTATAATACTCCACGTTTCGTTGTTATTTTATATATTGCAATATTCTTTACTGGTCGTTATGAATGGTGGGAGTTGATGAATTGTTACAGCAATAAGAGTATGTGTGCGATAGCAAGCCGGAATTGAATGACTGAAACGTTTTTTTTTCTGTATGTTCTTGTTAAATTAGTGAAAAGTAGAACCGTTAACTGTGTTAATGACATTAAGAGAAGGCTAATTAATGATATTTTGTAACAACGCCCTATGTATCAAATATATTCTTAAATTTAGATAGTATGAAAAGTTTCTTATATCAAAGGGACATATGACGGTGATTTTTTTTTTTTTTTTTTTTTGGTCTCTGATCATTTCTTCGATCCATTGATATTATGATATCCTGTATCTTTTGAACTGGGTATTCGCTGGTATGTTGTTTCTAATTTCATTGTGACATATGGCATCCAAATGTTGCAGACTAAGAATATCAAAGAAGAAAACAAGTGAGATGGGTAAACACTGTTCATAAATAATACTTTATGTCCATATCTTCATGAAGGATATGGTGATAGTTTCAATATACTGATAGTTTATGTTCAATATGTCGGCCATTTCTTCTTTCAACTTTGATAAGAAGAACCAGGCACTGTAGGTAATGATTCAATTCTTGACTAAAATCGTTACGGGGTAAAGAATTTTTAATACTTGGTTTAGAATAAACATTTTTATAATCAAAATATAAGCAGAATTTCTTTTTGGGAAGGGTTTGTATTTCTCGTATATGTTTTTTTTTCAATTATCTGAGAATGCTCCGTGTTCAAGACTGCATGACTCATTAAAGGTAAATATGCAGTACAATTTTGTGCATTTTATCTATATAGATAATTATCAAATAATTCACTCACTTATTTAATTTTTTTCCAAGAAAACCTTTGTTTTATAATATTAACGTAGGAAGAATAATATTGCCCTTTACAAAAATTTAGATTTTTTCAAATTAAATTTGTGTATATGACAATTTAAATGGAAAAATTCTAAATATTTGTAGAAGACAATGTGGATGCTGAATATTGCATCATATTTTTTTTTTTTTTTTGACCTTGTACTGGTAGTGCGTAACTTTCAAGTTATGAAAAATGTTATTAATAATTTTGTCTGTGATTTTTATTTATTGTTAGATTAACCTCTTTTCCTAAGCAGGATTTTGAAATGTGTCCTTCTTCCATAACCATAACATGTGTGAACAAGGGCTGAACTTTTTCATATTTTTTGAAATCAAATAAATTTTTATACAAAGTTGCTGAACATGTTCACTGTCTTTTTAATTACTTTTTAATAAATAAGAACATGATTAAGGTATATCAATGTGGTACTAAGCAAGATTCTAGATCGTTCTCAACCGGAGAGATGAATTGGATGTAGGTAAGTTCAGCAGTTTTGATGTAGAATCTTGTAATCTTGATTTTCTGAATTAATGTACATTTTTTTCCATTTCACAATAATCATTGGACGTGGACAGCTGGTTACAAGTTCATGATCATTTCTCAGTCATACGCCTGGTTCGGACGGTCAGATAATACTTGCCCCGGTCACCGTGAACCAGATCAATAGTGCTGTGACACATATGAAAATGGTCAATACTTCATTTATCCGGACAAAAAGGCATCAGAACTGAGTATTTTCTTAAAATAAGAATCGGCTTTGAAGGGCTTTACGATATTTTAATGACTTTGCAGATAATATTCAAACACCAAAAGAGTTCTGGTTATTTATTGTAACATTTGAACAGTTTTCTTGTTATATGTTTGTACACGAATGCAAGATTAAGAATTCGGATAATAGTTTTGAAAATAAGTTTACCAGAATAATTTTTTCTAAACATTTATGTTGCTTTATATTTTTCATCACAATTAAGTGATCACGAACATGATCAAGATTTACAATTCATTTGTCAATTTAAGCTGCAGACTTTTATTTAATTGGTCTGAATTTTAAAAAACGGTATGGAGAGGGTGTACGAATACTTTCGTCAATTTCAGGCCAAGCAGTTAAAACCAGTTGTGATCAATGTACTGCAGAGGCTGTGTAAAAATATGTTCAATTTGAGTGACAGATTAAAATATTTTGTCTGCAGCTTTCATCGTGACATACTCTTTTCTTTTGTATGCTGGGAACTTTAACTTTCTGGTCGCCCATCCCAAATTTTAAAAGCAGTGATTGAGATAGATTTCAAGCTATCGATCTATGTAAAGTTTTTGAATCTTCGATGCGACGAGGTTAAACTTCTTGTTTATGATTCTATTTACGGTTTCTCATCATCTATCGCCATCTGATGCCTGAGCCGACTAAATTGTATTCAATATATTTTGCTCCTGGTATCATAAATGGCAAAGAAGATTGATTCTTTTATTCAAATTTCTTTCGAATCAACAACACTGTGTGTAAATGGAGACCTGGATTTGACATTCTTTGAGAAAGTTTATACTGAGGTCAAATCTACATATCATTATCTTCATAATGAATATTCAGCGTTTATGATTGTTTACCACCCTAAACAATATATTCGGGTTCGCATTAATTAGAAGGTACAACGTCAAATCGGTGAAATTTAGATTAGTTTCTTGGAATTTTTTGAGCGTTTTATGATCAGTTAAAAATCAATTCAATCGTAGAGATATGTTTTCTTGCAGCTTATTTTCTGTTGTTTCAAGAAAAAAGGTTAAATATCAGTTAAATATGTGTTTGAAATTTTTTCCCCTTGATCTCGCTGGCCTTCGCGGACCTTCCATTAACGAGCGCGACATCCTAATTTTATCTTAGCAGTTGGAAAAAACAATACCAAGTCATTTGAATTTTTGCATGGAAAAAGACAATTGCAGACGTGAATTGGACACAAAAATCGATAGTGTGAACTGTCCAATCGATGGCGACGGCGGAAGCAGGGACAATGTTACAAGGTGACGATGGCGGGCCGTCGATATTCTTCTGTATTAGCAGGAGGAAAAGCTCGTCTCAAATTTCTTCCTAGTCTGACAAGCTTATGGAGAGACAAACTCCTTCTGAAATAGGTTCATCATTTGCCCGAGGTTGGACTTGATTGCAAAGCAAGTTAAACCCCCGTCATCAGGTGTTTGAATACTGAACACATATGTCCTTTTATTAAACCAACTGTTAATCGAACTTTCAAATAAATTTAGATTTGGGAGATTTGAAATAACTTTTTAAAATTCTTTTATTCATAAAAGCTCTCTTTTTATTATTTATCATCGGCAGAATGATACACAAACACCTCAATCAAGAATTTAACAAGAGGCACATTAGCCACAACATCCACCTGAGTAACATTCGCACTACTGTCCATAAGATTTTCTCCTCTCTTTATTCGTATGAAAAATGTTGACCTTTTTTTAACACCCCTTCCCCCCATCCTAGCCTCGGCGACTGTATTTTGAACAAACGTCAATCTGCACTAACTGAAGATACAGCAGTATACTTGCACATTCAGGCGACTGATCGTGAAAATTTGAAAAGTTTGAAAATTTTACGACAGATAACAAATGTCGATCAGTAAAGCTCACTTCAGCCTCTGGCTCAGGTGAGCTAAATAATGGATTAATGGCGTAAACCCCAAATATCAATAATTTCTAAGTGCCAGGTTATGCACACTTTTCTCTTGATTACACGTGCCCTTGGAAGAGGGTGTTAACCTTTATTTGAACAAATTTGAATTCCCTTTACCCCCCCCCCCCCCAAAAAAAAATATTATGTTCCAAGTTTGGTTCAAATTGGCCCAGTTGTTCTGGAGAAGAAGGTGAAAATGTAATCAACGACAATGACGACAGACTTTCGATCAGAAAAGCTCAATTAAGCCTTCGGCTCAAGTTAGCTAAAAATGGATTAATGGTGTAAACCCCAAACATAGATATTTTCTAGGTGCCAGGGTATGCACACAGTAGCATACCAGGCATTCATTTGTATTAGCTTTGTCTGACTTTAAGTGGACCTCCACTGACATTAGTCGCTGATCTACATGCCTTATTTCCCCCCTCCTCAACCATTATGTCCATCATGTACAGCTGGGGTTCATTGTCAATGTTGTTTTCCCCTTCGGAATTGCCAACTATACTAGTGCTGAAACTTGACATGACTGTGTAGCACTTAATTTATTACACTATTAGTGTGAGATGGGTTTGTTACTTCTATTACTATCACAAATTCTAAATATTGTCCATCTCGTACCCATCGATGTTTGGCATTTTCAGAGTCGAATTTCAAAAAGTTATCTCAACAACTGTTTAACTGTTCGGTTTATCCATTTCATTTTTTTATTCAACTTTTGTCAATTTAGTTTGTTTGTGATCCTCTAATATCACCTACATGTATTAACATCATAATTCATTAATAACTCTGACCTAAATATCCGTCCATTGAGATTCTGTAAACGAACCTTACGCGTGCGTTTGGTAGAGGACTTAACACGTGTCTGCAAGTTTCCCTTTACACTCTCTCCAAATTCAGTGATCTCATGCTCCAAAACCCTTTACAACCTCTCAAAGAACACGATGAAACAATTGATTCCCTTCTCGATTATTTGGCATTATTTCTCATTACTAACGCTCTCAGAAAAACTCCACTATTAATAGATTTTTACTTTGGTTTAACAATCCCCTACAAACGATGATAATTAATCGTAGGGGATCGCACTCGAGCTTTGGAGAGCAGTAAACGTGCTTCTTGTGAAGCTAATCACTCTTTTACATGTTTCTAAAGTGTCAGCCCTCGAGTCTTCTCGTAAAGTTCTTCACAGTTTGTTATCTTCTTGTGCTATATAATTCAGAGAATATAACTTTTTTTCTCCTCGGTAATATTTTCTACATTCTCTTTTAAGTAATAAACTTCAAATCTCTCATTTTTCCATTTTTCAAGTTAGGTAGATATTTAAAAAATGTGTCGTCATCCTCTTTATTAAATTCAGCTACGCAAGTTAATCATTTTCCTACAAAACACTTTAATTATTTTGCAATCTTTTTAGGGAGGATCATTTTATTTTGAAGGAACTATATGTTTGTGATGTCCGAGACCTTATTAAGATTATATATATATATATATATATATATATATATATATATATATATATATATATATATATATATATATATATATATATATATATATATTCGATTAAGGAGGATTCATTTTTTCATGTGTGTCCGACCATACTTTATATTTTATCACCAATTCTGATCATACATGTATTGATGCATATTGGAAAAAACAATGAACGAGAGGCAGGCCACAGAAAACACAACTGAACAAAGTTATACATAGTAGTACATGTTCTAGTAATATCATGCCCAGGTTAAATCTTGCAAACTGTTCGGTGTTGGATAATCAAGTTTGTTAGATGGTCTTTGCTGATAAGAAAGTAGACGTACATAGCCTGTTAGTACATGTACAATGTATACGTCATGACGATGTCTAAGATCCTGCATCTGTATCACAAGGAATTTAAACCATTACATTTAGAGCCACTGCTGGACCTTGTTGGAAATGCCAGGTTTAAAGGAACAAACTGCACATACATGTACAATGTATCACTTCAATTTACCGTTCCCGATGTGCACTTTGCTCTTTATTGACAGTGACCTTATCCCAACTGCTATGAAATAAATATAAACTTTATTGGAGAATTATTTTTAAAATATATTTTCAAGCATTTCTCCACAAGGACATTAAGTTTATAGATTATCTGGCTCAGTTTTTTATTCATATGTCGACTTGATATATCCCGGTGAACTCGAAATAAAAGATATCGTAGAATCTGCCACATCTGTTTAACATTTGAATGTTTTACCGACTAGAGACGTTAATAGCAAACTAACAATTAAAGCATATGACGAACGGGACGACTTCAACTTTTCCATCGTCAGCCTCCTGTATATTTATATAGTAGAAATTTTTCACTATCACCTTCTTGTGGTGTTTATGTCTCCAACTGCTTCGTTACGCAAGAACATGTTCCGAGTATGATAAATTTTAACTGAGGCAGGCTACTGACAAATAAATTGATGTTCCAGGGCTTTCTACAATCTCGTATAAAATCAGTATTTTGCAAATTTCATGGTGGGAACGATACTTGTTTGCAAATACAACCTATCCTTGGGTTATTTTTGCTGATATGTTTCATTCCAATTGTTTGGCCATTGTTTTTATACTACACGTAATTTTGACTACGGATCACTCCGTTTACTTGATCAATACACAGGCCTCACGTGTCCGGTGAACAGGGGATGCTTTCTCCTCCT